ATTTTCACCTTCTGAAAGGATTCTTATTTTGTTAAAGGTTGCATGCTTTTAGTAGTACCTTTTAAATCAGAAAACACTGAAACAAGTCTTAATACAACTTTGGAAACCCATATAAATGAAGACAGGGGAGAGAGATTTAGTTCTCCTTTATTTAAACAGGTTCCCATATTTCAACACAATGGAAAATATCTTATTTTCTACTTTGCTGTATTACATCAAAAGGTTGTTATCCTCTTAGTTATATATTGGAAATATTACACATAAAACACAATATGGCTTGTCTATATTCACTTAACATTTAAACTCTTACCACTTCTGTCTGCAGCCCCTCCTCTCATAATTCTAGCCACAATGATTGCCCCAGTCTGCTCATCTTTCTTAATGGTGGCTCCCTTTTAAGAAAAACAAAAATATTTGTAGGTAAATGTGTGTACTGGTAATATGAAGGAGGAGGCAGAAATAAGGACATTCATCTGGAAAAAGTGAAAACAGTAACTACAAAAAATTAAAGGAATGAGGCAGGAGGAATAGACATTATGCCATGTGTCTTACAAATGCTCATTACTGGGTACAGAACTTTCTACCATACACATCTAAGTTTTCAGCAAAATTTAAAGGTTTTCTAAGTCTTTAACTTCTTTAACACTGTGGAAAGTACACATATCTTCCTTCTACTATAATACCTTGTATCTGAATACTATTTGTTTTTACCCTTTTAAAGCATTTCTCCATTCATTTACCTTTTAAATACCCCACAAAGAAGGTATACTATAGAAGGCATACTATATATAGGCATGACTAAGTGAATAGAAAAAATTACATAAATTATAAAACTCAGGTCATCTAACTTTTAGTTCAGTGATCCTTCTATTACACTATTATAATAAAGGAACTCAGTGATAACAATAAAGGAAAAAATTAAAACTTCAAAGTTAACTATATTTCTTACCCAAGACTAATATAAACTAATGGAAGAAAGAACTGTTAGTCCAGGGTTTTTATGTACTAGGATTGTCCCTGGTACAAACAGAACTCACATTTTGGCACAAGATTAGGAAACAATTTCAAAAAGAATCCAGCAATTCTTCATTTATGGATGTTCAGAAGCAGATTAACTGAATATTGCTTTGTAAGAACATCAGGCACAAACAGTTACTTTGAAGGCCTTCTTATGACTTTCCTTTCCAAGAAAATGGTACTGGGTTTAGAAAAGCCATTCTATATTGCATCACAGGGCTAAGATGACAGTACGTGGTGGCAGAATTCACCCCAAAGAAGAAAGTGGATTTTTTTTCTCATGTGTCAAAAACCACATTTCTATCACTACAAAACAGATATGTAAACAAAATTAGAAATCCATTTGTAGTGAGTATATTTTATATATGACAGCTATCCAATACATATCTTATAATAGTAAAAATCAAATAATTGATAGCATGATTGATTTTGTGGCATTTTTCATCACCTATGTATGCATTCAGGCCACAGACTTGAATGAACATCTCTATTGTCATAAACCTTAGACTCACCAATTACTGGTATTTTCTGCTTTTAAACAGTTAACTTGTAACCAAGATTAGTGGAAATGTAATCTTCTTAATACAACTAATTAGTTTGGTTAGATCAACTTTCATTTTCCTTAACAATATATCTAAAACTTTCCCACAAAGTATGCATAATGGCAGAAGGTCTACTAATCTAATTTAATATTACTTATCAATATTTTATGGATGAGAAAGTGAATCCCAAATGTTTATAATTTGTCAAAAACACACAACTAATGTGCAGTCAAGTCAGGACTTGTCTAAGGCAAACTGATCAGAATTGCTATTCTTAATCTTAACTACCATTCAAATCTCCTTACCCTACCTAGTATCTTTCTATAACCTTTTGTTCATAAGGTCTTAAGTTCATTACTCTTGTGGCAGCCTGTCTCCAAAATGGAGGTCACTGATCCCTTCCCTCCTTGTGTATGTCATGTTCCCACATCAAATGGTAAAAATGACTCTGAGGAATCTAAGGCTACAAGAAGACTTGCGGCAACTACCTGGGCCTCTTGAAACCCTTGCTCTATAGGAAGCCAGCCACCATGTAAGAAATCATGACTACTGCCATGCTGTGAGGAAGCCCAAGCTAGCCAAGTGGAGATGCCACTTGGAAAAAGACATGCCTCACCAGCCCCCAGNGCCCAGCCTGAGCTGAGCTGCACTGAGCTGCCAACAGGTGGCAGGATGATGGCTCAGCTAAAAAAAAAAAAAAGGCAGAGGACCTGAATAGACATTTCTCCAGAAGGCATACAGATGGCCAATAAGCATATGAAAAAATGTTCAACGTCACCAGTCATCAGAGAAATGCAAATAAAAACCACAATGAGATACCACCTCATGCCTGTCAGGAAGGCTATCATCAATAAATCAACAAACAAGTGCCAGCAAGGAAGCAAGGATGCGAAGAAAAGGGAACCCTCATGCAGTGTTTAAGATTGCAAATGTTTGAGATTGAAATGCAAACAAGTGGTGAGATTGCAAATTGGTGCAGGCATTATGGAAAACAGTACGGAGGGTCCTCAAAAAAATTAAATGTAAAACTACCTTATGAGCCAGGAATTCCACTCCTGGATATTTATCCAAAGAAATTCAAAACACTAATTTGAAAAAATATATGTACCCCTATAGTTTAGCTAGTCACATTAGCCAAGATGTGGAAACAACCGAAATGCCCAAAGAGATGACTGAATAAGGAAACTGTGGTATGTTCATACAATGGAGTATTACTCTGCCATAAAAAATGAAATCTTACCATTCTCAAAAACATGGATAAACCTAGAGGTTATTATGCGAAGTGAAAATAAGTCAGACCAAGAAAGACAAATACCATACGACCTCACTTACATGTGGAATCTAAAGAGCAGAGTAAACAAACAAAACAAAAATAGACTCATAGATACAGAGAACGAACTGATGGTTGCTAGATGGGAGGGGGATTGGTGGGATGGGTGAGAAAGGTGAAGGGATTAGGAAGTACAAGTTGGTAGTCACAAAATAATCAGTGTGAAATACAATATGGGGAATATAATCAATAATGTAGAAACTATATATGGTGTCAGATGGGCACTTAACTTATGGGGGAATCACATCATAAATTATATAAATGCCTAACCATTGTGCTGTACAATTTGAAGCTAAAATAATGTTGAATGTCAGCTATAATTAAACATTTAAACATACATATATATATGTGTATATCTATATATGTGTATATATATATATATATATATATAATCACAGGGTGTAAAATACAGCATAGGAGATATAGTCAATGGTATTGTAATAGCTATCTAAGGTGTTAGTTGGTAGTAGACTTGGAGTTTATTGCTTTGTGAGGTGTGTAAATGTCTAATTATGGTTTTTTTGTACACCTGAAAGTAACTAACTATATATATATATATATATATATATATATATATATATATATATATATATATATATATATATATTCTTCTTTTTGCCGGAGGTGCCAAAAAAAT